AATGCAAATCACCTTAACTTTTTCTAGGACACAATTATCTTAATGATTTATCAGTAACACTTTTTGATAGATCACATCATTGGCTTACCTTGCAAATGCCAATTTTCAGCAACACCAAGCTGACAGACTTTAGCAGCAGGTKAATTTTAAGTATGCTTTCAGTTCCTTTTTGTTGGGAAATCTGTTTATTTAGCAGACTGCATTTTTCAAGCAAAGTAATTCATGACAGGGATCTCTGCTGTGCGACACAGAACATTGACATCATTTGTCACAGCAGCCAAATGAAAACAAACAAAAAAAAAAAAGAAATTATAATTTGCTGCTGACACGGAGTGACAGAAAGAACAGCCATCAAGAAAGAAGCAGCTCTTCCCTGCTGGAAAGTTTTAAAAAAGTCATTTGTTTCCCTGTCACCCCATTTGCTACCAAGCTGCTCCACTCACAAGGTCAGTTTGCTTTAAAACAGTCAGCACTTTCCATCCAGTGAACCAGTTATTTCATAGGGAAATCAACTCTTCCATTGCATGGAACAAGCAAATTTGCACAAGTCATGTTTTCACTGATCAAGAGAAATGGCACAGACCAGAACAATTAAAACCTGTGCAAACTCTGGGAAAAGGCAGAACTAAAACTCCACTGCATTCCAAATATTCACCACAGCTTAGAGAATATTAGAAGACTAAGAATTAACATCAGGACTGTATTTTTGGTGCAGAAGCTGTAAGCCAGTACTCTCCTGCCTGCAGCACGTGAGCAATCCAACCCTCAACTGCAATACCTGCATCAGACAAAATACACTCTGCAGGACTGGTTCTACCATACACAAAGAGGTCATGAGGTATCTAACACATAGAGTGGCTCAGCTGCAGCATGGAAAGTCTACATTTAAGCAAGGAAATCCCATTTCAAGAATCCCCCAAACATATGAAAACTGAGCCTTGAAGCCTGAGGGATATCCACATGTAATTGAGTTCACAAGTACCTAAACTCCTCACACATCATCTCAATGACCTGTAGAAAAATGACATGCAACTGCTTTTTGACTTTCCTAGGACTTTATAATTTGCCAGAACAGCCAGGCCATTCATCCAGGGCAGAGATAAGGAGATGACTAACCTATGAGACATCAAGATTTCCAATGGAGGTTAGGAGGAACCTCTTCTTTTTTTAATATCCRCATGAAGGACAGCTCTGCTCCTCAGCATGTGAGCACAGTAACCCTTACCACAAATGAATACAACCCAAGAAAGCCATTTCTTTCCCCAGAGAAACTATCCTATACTGTCTGCCTGCCTTTACAAGGCAAATGAGGACTACAAATGAAGATGAGACCACCTATCACAGCACGGGCTCTTCTGGGATGTTTTCCTACAAACACTGGCTCTAGTTGCAGRCTCTTCCCCAGTCCCGACATTCCTTAGAGGTTATGAGGCTCTCAGAGAGCAAAGTGTGCAGAGGCYGTTCAGTGTTCCTACACAAAAAGGGGCAAGTAACTTACAGGAGAAACCATACAGAGAAAAAAAAAAAAATCAGTCACAGGTCTGAATCAAAGCCTACCTGAAACTTATCAAAAGAGGTTGTATCCCATTTAATATCCAGCTAGCTCTTGGTGTGGTCTTTGGTAATTTGGCACTTGTATTGCAAAGGTAAATTGCCTTTAAACATTTTCCTCTGCCTGTTTAAGGACCCCTGTCCTTTTCTATAATTTTTTTATTTGACGGTTCCTTCTATGATTCAATAGCTGAGATGTGCAGAAAAGCCACTGTAGGGGGACAGAAGCCTCATCAGYTCTTTGGAATCTTCCAATGCTCCAGCACGTCAAAAGCATTCTTGGGGCACAGAGAAGGAAAATACCATGAAAGTAAATCGTAGGGCTTTTTATCTTTTTATAAGAGATCTATACATCTCTATGTAGGGAAAATGACCCAGACATCTCACTGTCCCCCTTGTTACTCGCTGTCAGTAACAGARAAGTCATTTTCAGCAAAATATATAAAGGATCACCATAGTGCAGACAGATCACCATGCCAAACTCTAGCAGCAGTGTGGTGCCAAGACAAAGCAGCACTCCCTGGTATTGTTCTACCAATAAATGGTGCCACACAGTAGAAACCTCTTCTCAATGGGAATGGCAGCAGTAGATCCCATATGGCAAATCTTACCCTTGGTTTTCTAAACAGTGAATGGTCCCATTCAGGGCACTTCATATTCCATAACAAGATAATCTATTTTCTGACAGATAAATCAATACTCACATGTTTGGAAGTGCTCAAGCTCTCCAGGCAAAAGCACAAAGCCCTTTTCATAATGACAAACAATACACTCTGATAAGCACAGTATCAAGAATAGAACATAAAATTGGCACAAAATGCATTAATTTAAGGTCTCAAATAATTCTGGTATTTCACAGCAACTTAGTCTTTGCACACATACACAGAAGGAGTAACTTATGACTGTGAAGCAGCATTTATGCTGCAGTGTTACTTAAGCCAGCTGCTCACATACTTCCCACTACCAAGCTGAAGACTGTTAAGTCAGAACTGTTTCCTGCCTGCAAAAGGCCTTACCTTGGCTTCATCTACTTGCAGGAGAATACTACATCAGCACTCCAACACACACAACTGTCCTYCAAAACAAAATTAAAAACCTCTTCTGCATTTATCTTACCTGGCTTTAAAATTCCAGGTTTGCCCAAAACCCTCTGTCCACATTCCCCTGCCCTGCCCCCAAGCCTATTTTGAAGCAACACTCTGGATGCCAAGGGTCCTGAATACTGAGACAAGAGAAAAGCCTTAACAAATGTCTAACAAAGACTTTAAATTGGGAGCTTCAATTTGTGCTATGAGATCTAACTATTTTCTTAATATTTTAGGTTGAAAAATTACAGAGGCATAAGACTCTCAGAGGATGGTGATAATACTTTATTAAGGCCTTCAGTTTATATACTGCTACTCTGTCAGCTTGTCAGACCCTGTAAAAAATGAGACCAAGAAAAGGGAACCACAGGGTGTTAGTGTGACAGACTCTCTGAACAGCATTAATGAAGAGTTCAACTGCACAGTGCAAAAAGAACAGAGTGAAATAACAGTCAACCTGTATAGGCTGTCAAAATGAGATGAGACCACCATTCCAGTAGAGATGTTTTACTCACAGCA